CTCCCCCTGTCCCCCACCCCCACCCCACCCTGGGCCTGCATAGTTATGGCCATAGTCTGGGTGCTTGGATATCGAGGCTGCTTCTTTGGGGACCGGATGTGATCTGGGGATGTTCACTCAGCCGAAGGTGTCCAGGGGGTTTCTCTGCCTCTGGCGGGACAGAGCAGCAAAGGCTTGTGGACACCATGGAAACGAGCTCCACCCTGTGCTACTGGGGAACTGCCCCAGACCAGCTAAGTGTGGTTCTGGAATCAGATGGGCCACCCATCCTCCCTCCTTTGTTTCCTCCCAAGACCTCAGGGGCCCTCCCTCCTTGGGGAAATATTCTGAGCCCTTGGTTTTGTGTTGAGGGCATTCACCAGTTCTTACTGGTTATCTGTCCAGTCCCAGGCACACAGTAGATGCTTAATAAATATTTGCCTGGTGATTATGGTTACTGTTGCCCGGGGCAGATGAAGTCAGAGTTCTTTGTGCTGAATGTTCACCGATAATCTTTTTTTCCTTAAAAGAAATCTTTTAAGGAAGTGGGCCTATTCGGGGAGGCACGTTTCAAAGCCTGGGAGCTCCTAGCACCAAAAGCATTTACCTACTCACCAACCCGACTCCCTCCTTTTCCACTCCGTGAAGATGGAGGAGATAGGACTTGGTGAAATGTGCCCAGGCTTTCCCCCTTCCATTCACAAACTGTGGGTGGTGGCGGGGTGGGGAGCAGGCAGGTAGTGGGGCTCTTCAGGATCCGACTTTTCAAACTGGAAGAGACTTAACTTATCCAGGCCAGCCTCCTCCTTTTTAAAAGCCCAGAGATGCTGAGCAATTTGCCAAAGGCACACAGTAAATTGAGGCAGAGTCAAACACACACTCGGGTCTCTACTATCCTAGCCTTTTTGTCGCCTCTGCACTACTTTCTTTGGCCATAAGGGGGCACTCGTGGCAGGGTCCTGGAGAGGACAGGAAAACCCCAAGGATGCTTACTCAGGCCGGCTGGACAAGTGGAGGAGGAAGGCTAGAGGCGGATCATGAAAATAAAATCAATCCTCCTGATAAGGTTTTCTCGTTGGAGCCTGGTTGAGCCTGAATCAACAAACAAGGCCCTGGGCGTGAGCAGCCCCTGCTAAGCTGGGAGGACTGGAAGGGGAGGAGGACTTCTCCAGGCCTGTTTTCTTGCTTCATTAGTTCCCGGGGTTTATAGCCGGTTGCAGGAAACACTTCTGTGTGTAATTCAAACAAACTTTCTCGGTTCCCTGGTTCCCTCGGTCGGGACCCTGCTGGGACAAGACTGCGCTGATGACAGCCCGCCCCCCACGGTGATGACCTCAAGGAAGGGCACCAGCAAAGGGTGTGTGGGGAGAGCTCTGACCTCCAGGCCACAGACACAGGCCCATGACCCCCAAAGGGGTGGCGACCCATAGGTTGAGAACCGCTGGAACAACATCTCTAGGGCCCTTAGGAGCCCAGAGGTGGCCGGCTGTCGAGGCAGAACCACCGCCAGATCCCCTTACATCTGATGAGGGAGCACAGGCCAGCCTCCTCGACCAAAGGACGCCCCACTGGAGTGTGGGCGCCAGCTCCCTGAGCCCCGCCCCCCCACGGGCCCTTTTCCAAAAAGCCCCCGAGAGCCTGGCACCCCATGCTCCTCAGCCCCGAGCTGAGCCCTCCACCTCTGGTCTGAAATATGGGGGACGGGGTAAGGCTGTTTGCCCGCCAGGTGGACGGGGAGCGCTGGGGCAGCGCCAACTGGTGGTAGGAACCTCTGTCCACCCAAATGTACGGTGTTGGCCGCTTTCTGGGTTGGGGAGCTGCCCTGGTGGTGAAGCCCTTCGGCCCGATGATTTCTTGGGACTTCTCAGGAAGGAGTGTGTGACCGGGACCTCATAGGCACTGGGTTTATAAAGCACCCGGTTAGGAGGTGGTCCTACCGCACTCCCACGGTGCTTGAATGTGAAGGTAAAGGGGGCCTGGGCTGTGAGCTTCTTGAGGGCAAGGACCATGTGCCTTTGGCCCTGGGCCATACTCCACCTGCTACAGCCCCCTCGGGAGCAGGCCCCGCATACACAGGCGCAGGTCCCTGTGGTCAGCC